GCACAAAGTACACGGTACTACCATTTAGATTAATCGTAATTAGCAACCGTTAATTACATGGGACTACTAGCCCCGTATATTTTAAAGTTGATATTTTGAAAAATCGACCTCTTTTTGGCCAGTCTAGATGACATGGCCAAAAAGAGGTCAATTTTGCTAAAATTTCAAAAAAAGGTCGATTTTGCTAAAAAAAAATTTCAAAAAATGGTCTTTTTTAAAAAAATTCTCCCATTGGATATCATCATCGTTATCAGATATGACAACTAAAGGGAGAAGGATAAAAAGCAATATTCTTATTTTGGGGACGATAGGAAAGAGGCAGACAATGAGAAAGTATACTCAAATGGAGCAAATAATATTTTATGTTAGTGGTGATTAGTTGCATCTTTTTGGAAGGGAATGAGATGACAATGTTTTAACAACGAGACTTCCACCTAGTTAGATTTATCAAATCAAGCTCTTTCTTTGTGTACCTATCAATATCAAAATAGTCAACCCCTTTTGGATCGTATAAAAATGTTCTATATTCAAATGCATGCCACTTGAAGTAAATGATAAAAAGAAGTCTACCCCAAGTTATACCAAGTTATGGGACCGGTGATGTTCTACACCCCCCTTGTTTGTGTGTACAGAAGCAACACATGTTCTTGATAACCTCATCAGCATCATCTAAGTTTCCACCATCAGGACAGGGTCATCTAAGCTAGAGCACGACTCGAGCAATCTCCACAAAAGACTTAACCTCTGTACAGTGGGTTGTCAACCCGGCATAAACCTTTTTGAGTTGGTGCCTTATTCTTGGCTAAGAGGTTATTGGGGTGGATACTCTTTATCTTTTTAGGATTCTGCAATATAAGCTCAAGCATCCAAATTCCAAGGAACTTGTTCGAATGGCTATAACCTCACATGATGCAGTTGGGGCATTGGTATATATCTTTAAGGCACACTTGTAAACATTCATATTGGAATGGATTTTTTCCCCCTCGAAAACACTATTCCGAATAGCTTATTCTGTCTTACTGTAGTTAAACCAAAGCTTCTCTGAACCTATTTGAATGATCTGTATTAGGAATTGTGCAGGTCATGCTCGGTTAGGATGAACAAAAATTTATTGTAAATGGGAACAATCCTAGATCTGAAAATAGCGCATTGGATTTGTATATGACTTGAACCAATAGGTTTGGATGGCATGCGTACCATCATGCATATGAACAGGTTGGCAGCGTAGCTTGTATCAGAAAATGATGAACTCATTTGAGTTTTGACTACTTCACCATGTTGCAGTAAGGTAAGTGAACTAACTCGTAATCATAGGATGTGATTCCTGAGTCCTAGTTTGCTTTCAAAGTCAGAGCACATAATAACATCTTGTTGCTATTATATATCATGAAAAAATCGTCAACATCTGACATGACTGTTGTATTCAATTGCCACTCTCACTTGGTCAACATCTGACATGACATCGTAACTCCTGCTGTTTATATATGTTTGTGCAGGCAGATAGTGCCCTTCTAGCTCTCAATTGCAGCGGCATGCTTCTGAGGTCCCTTCCAGTTAGGTAGAACCCTCTATCTCCACTTGTTGAGGAAGTGTGAGACTCAACTTGATTTCTCTTCTACTAACTCTTCTCCTTTCACTGGTGTATCAGGGTAAGCCCATCAAAGACTCCTGTGAGGCCCCGCATTCCTCGTGCAACTCTTCAATAACTCCAGTTTGTTTTTACTTCCGAGCCAAAATTTCGACTGGAGGAACTTCCTTCCGTTGGAAGAGCTAATGAAGCGTCATTTTCTTTAGTTATTTCTTTCCCCTTTATCAGCAGAGAGTAGTTTCTGCTACCAAACATGATCCCCCTTCAGTCCACCACCTCTTGCACTTCGCAACCATTTTTATCTTTTCATGGTTGTTGCCTTTGTTTAAGTCACCAAAACTGGCGTCAAGCTGAGGGTTTCAGTTTAATCGGCACTCGTGTTTTATTCCAGTTTACCCATCAGATAATGGACTGAGCTAATGAGACACTGTTGCGATGCACAGTATGAGAATGATTGGTGATCTTCACCATAGTGGATCCTTGTTTAAGTTTCTTGGGTCTTCTGAAACAAAATGTTTGATGTGCTCTTCCGTAAGCTTTTTCTTTTTATTTTTAGCATTAGCTGCTGTTCTTTCTTTAATTCAATTTGGTTTCAGTTCTGAAAAATGTTGTCAGCTTTGTGAATATGACACCAGTGTTTCTTGCTTTCTTTGGGTTTTAATTATAAGGAGGTGTTTCAATTATTCATTTTGATTAAACAGAGGCATTACATGGGGTTTCTTGAATGTTTTGTTTAAGTTTTCATTCTGTCTTCTGCCAACGCTTGCTGCTTTATCGTCTCTCCAGGAAAAGGGGATTAATTCAGCTGAGTGAAGCATCACACGAAATTACATAAAAAATTTGCACACTTGTTCTTCGGTTTTTAGGAGTGTCAACATTTGATATTGACAGATATCTACGCGGTCAAGAATTTGGAATTAGTTTTTCTACGCAAGGAAGAGAGCAAGATTTAGTAGGCCATCGTATGCTACTACATAATGGATGTGGTGGGGGTAGGCAAAAATGGATGAGAGTTAGGTGGATATTTTCTGCGTTCCGTAGTATTTTCAAGGGGAGAGTAAACAATTCATATGAGTACTTTTAAATATATATATATATATATTTTCTTTTCTCTTTCTATTTTCTAGCTCTTTCTAAAATATTGACATGCGCTCGTTATTAAAGCTCACTAATAAAATATATATTTAATTCAATATTATTAGAGATGTAAATATGAAATGATAAAGTTCTTTTTTAAGAAATGGATGTAAATAAATACAATAAAAATAACAATTAGAATTTTAATATGTTCTAATGTAAATATTATCGAAAGTGTATACCTAGATGCTTAGACTAAAAATAATTGAATATAATACTTTGAAAAGAAAATATGAAAAAAAAACTCTTCTGAATAACATTACCTAGGAAAACTCAAATTGAAATGTTTCTTATAGTTAATTTCAAATAAGGTAAATAGAATACAACATATCAAATGAATAGACATCGTAAAAATATCTTACGAAATTTAATGATGTTTTGTGGAGTTGAAGTGACCCATTTTTATAGAAATTAGAATGCTATATTTTAATGTATGTTGCAGGTGCATTTGCGCGTGCATTAATGCTAGCAGGCAGCAAGGAAAACATTTTTCCCTTTATCAAAAGATAAGCAAATATGCTATTTGGCACGCAGATAGCATCGCGCAGGCATCGCATAGGAGAGATGGGTCCCACCGCCCCTATTTCTCTCCTGCGCGATGCTATTTGCGTGCCAAATAACATTTCTCAAAGATAAGATAGTTGTTTTGATAAAAAAAAAAAAAAAGATAAGATCGTTGTCTAAACGTGTGTGGAATTTGTATCTGGAATCTCAACCCATTTTGTGTGATTACAAGCGGCTACGACACAGTGGGTCTCTTTTAAATTTCAAAACAAATAATGTTGAAAGCAAGCGATCATCAAATTGGTTACAGAGTGCATAACTTTCCCCAAAAATTCAAGTTTCTTGTAGAGCTGCACATTTATGTCAAACTGTGATGAGAGATCTCTGGAAAAAAGCAAAGCTATACAGGACACGCTACTTAATCCCATCCGCATGACTTAAAATTGGACGCAAAGTTTCTAAAATAAAACAAAGCAAAACGTTGTTATTCCTTGACTAATCATTCAAACTAGTTCATGATGAGCCTTGGCCCAATAAACAAGAGGTGGGATGGCTGTCCGATTCCAGATTCAGGATTAGCCTAAAATATTGTTTGAAATATATATATATATAGAGAGAGAGAGAAAAAAAAATGGGTATACTTGGTACCAAGGATCCTTGGTAGTGATGTGAACACATCTTGTCCATACATCACACCTTGAAGATGGAGCCTCACCAACTTCAAGGTGTGATGTATGGACATCGGAAAGACGTTAGTCCGTAGAAATAAGTTGTACTACCTACAGATACAAAATGCTTCACAACATTCATAATATCTGGAAAGCGGTGTTCGTTCGAGCAGCCAAGTGCGCACAACATCCAAAATCGACGTCCAAAATTTGGACAGTATTTTATATTGTGACTTTGTATCTCTTACCCTGGAGTCACCGGGCACAATGCAATCCCAGCTCCCAAAATTTCCAGCGCTACGTCTCAACGTTTGCGCTCTATGTACAGATTGAGAATCTTGACAAAGCGTTTTGAGTATTGAAACGTAAACTCTCCACTGAATGCTTCAGAGAAGCTAACTTACGATGAGACCAATTCCCCTTCCGCTTACTGCTGAATCCTGGGAGGATGAACAACTTATAGGTAGATCAATCTCCAGCATCAACAAGTGACGGCCTAGAACATTTAATTTCATATTAGCAAAAACATTTTACCCCATCTTGGGTCCAACGAAAACGGCACCAAGATGCACCCTATTTTTGTTTCATTCTGTCATCGACGACTATTAATTATGGTCGTACAATGCATGAGATAAAGTCTTTGTTGTTCTTACTGATACGATGCACGAGATAGGGTATCTAGTTATTCATATGTAAAAAGCTTTGGTGCGGGTTTGCGCTTTACTTGGAGATCACAAGAATGAACATCCACCCACCAGAAAGGAGGGGAAAAGAGAGGGTTGAAATGAACTGCTGCAGCTCAGCTCAGACAGAATGGATAAAACGTAAAGCAAGTTAAGAGCTATAAGAAAACATCAACATAGAACACCACTACCGAGCGCCAACTACAGAAAACCACTAAACAGTTTCCCTAAACGTAGGGCTCCCTCTCAACTGGGATATAGTTGCATAAACATGATATAAGAGAGAACTTTCGAGGAACAATACTAGGACAACCAAGGTGTATACAGCTGACGATTAAACCCGAAATTTTTTGTATCAGCCTTATCCAGAAATAACTACACAGGGAAAAACTGAAGGGAAAGGTGGAAGGAAACAATCAGTTCAGTCCTGGAATGGTGAATGCACACATGTTATTAAGAAACTGGATGTAGCTTGCTGCATTACAGATATGCTCAAAGTTAATCCTCGAATCTCACAACAAGGCGAGATGGGCAAATGACAGGCTTAAGCAACTGGTACATATAAAGGGAGAGGTGCCTTCCAACTTAAGAAAAGAGATATACAGCATACAGTATAACAGCATCAAAGGGTTCAACCGTTTGAAGTTCTCATATTAGCACTTCCCACTTCACTTTGAAAGAAAAGCATGCTCTGCAGTCATGCGATAGAAGTTATTGTACCCATAGAATATTAACGTCATCATGCACTGCTTGCATATAGACGGGTCCACTCCTTTGCTGCAATACACAGAAGTTCCGGGGGATTGACATCAATGGAATGTTAACCAAAAATATATAACTTTTAAGAAAATGCAATCGAATAGGCTCCTTATGGCACAAAACACCAAACAAAATTATCAATGAAAATTGGTTCTCAAACATAAAATATGATATAACATTACCCGTTTCTACAGCTTCAGCTTCATTTGCCTTCCAATGCTTTGCAACATTGTCTGAAAGAGGATCATCTGGGTTTGGAGCACTCAGAAGTGCTTGAATACTGGACCCATGAGAAGAAATAAATTATAATGTCGTTATTTATATGCAATACAGCATAGAAAATGAGAAACCTTGCAGCATAAGAAGCCACCATCAAATAAAATTTATAAATTAATCAAGTGAATGAATGTTGGGCGTTGCAATTGAAGGAACCTGTCCTTCCCCTGGATATGTAACCGAAAATGTTTACTTGGAACATTGAATTAAGAAGGATTACACATAGTTAGGAAAGAGATGACCAAGGAAGTTAAGTCATTATTTTCACTTAAACCCAAAGAAAAAGTGAGTAATATAAAGTTAATGACAAATTACTTGACAAACATAAGTTGCAAAAAAATATTCGATTCAAATGGGACAAAAAAATCTAATTAGGACAAAATGATTATTCCCTCCTTTAAGTATTGGTGAACTCCCAACATGCCCCCTAAAGTATCAATTTGCATATTCCCCCCTTAAACTATGTGCATATGTCCAATGTAATCATTTTGTGAGCTTATTGTCAAATATTTAATAGATTAATGATGTGTTTTTTTTTCCTGCAACTTTTGTATTTTTTGCAATCTAAAAATAAAAATTTTCATTCATAAAAAGCGTTAAAGAGTAAGAAGTTTGCGAGAAAGTAGTTTAAAAAATTTAAGTTCGGGGGGGGGGAGAGATAAATTGATAAAAACCATGAAGAAACACAAAGAAACACTGTTCCAACATTAATCTGTTAAATATTTGACTATAGACTCGCAAAATAATCACATTGAAGCCATAAACATAGTTTGAGGAGCAAAATAAGTAAATTAATACTATAGAGGGCAACTTGAGGGTTCACCAATACTTTACGGGAGAAATGATCATTTTGTCCATCCTCTTACAAAGACAAAAACCTTGACAAGTTGACATGCATACTTTGCGACTATACAGGTAGGAGGTAATTATCTTATCACTCTCATAAAAAATAAAAACAAAACCTGAAGATAGCAAAAGCTAGTACCATAAAAGAAACCATGATAATTATGGTGAAGAAATGCAAATGAGAAGCAAAATGTGTATAGTTTTGGTGTTATGTGATGATTAGTTTCTTAAAATAATGCGAATAGTGAGCACAAATCTTACTATAATTTAGAACTTTGAAGTCCATACATAAAAAAGATGCGGTTTTTGCCTTAAAACCCAAAGTTTTACACCAATTTACTTTTAAACTCAAGTACTTCTATTAATAATTATACACCCAAAGTATTATTAGAATTTACCTTTAAACTCATTCTCTCAAGTACAATACATACACATGTGGCTCCCTTCAAGAAAGTGTAAAGTTCCAAATTTACCCTTTCTCTTCCTCTACTCCTTCTCTAACCAAGTTGTGTCTCCATCCGATTGTGTTACATGCCAATGGCAGATAAAAGGAAATTCAGCGCTAAGAAATCTCCCAACTCATGGAGGTGATTAAATCATCTA